TGAATTTTTGGCTCCGCCACCGGTTAAACTTTGTAAATGTTTGAACCATTTTATTTGCTGGGAGTAACTGTTTGTTTCCTTCCACAAGAAGGGGGATAACATTCACTGGATTTTAGTTATACGTGTGGTGTCCTTGTCTCTCTTTTTTACTCTGTTAATTTTCTACTTTCTCTGTGTTTGGGTGGTAAACTGCGCTATGTGTAAATTTTCCAGGTGATTGATAAGGTTCAGGAGGAGGCAAAAAGCCGTACAGGTACTATTTTAGATATTATTGCTTTATGAAAGAGTTTTGACCTCTTTTATTGGAGCTTTTGTCATCATGGTTATTCTTGATATGCAATAGAACTGGTGTCCCGACATATAGCTTAACTACTTCGTAGATTAACTGTTCTAACTGCCAGGCGTTTCCTTACTTCACCATCTTGATAAACTAGAGCTTGTCCATTATGTTTTGATCATTTTGGCATGCAATTTGGCTGCATGTATGCTTTTTACAATGGAATGTCATAGAATGGCCTTTCTTCTCTAAGCGCTTCCCACCGAAAACATATTCATGAACTGCATTGATGTTTTATGTAATTCCATTGAATGTAATGTCTTTTATTTTGCACCACTGGTGATGACATGTCTTCTATTATGAATGGAAGGTATTCTATTATAGCGTTAGAGAAAGAAAATTGTGGTCTCCTTCTCATATTCCTTATGGTTTGTGGATATTGGTTATTCATAATTATTCAGCAACTTGCAAGCTATACGCCACTGGATTACAGCTTTACTCATTTGGTATCTACAAGTTATATTAACTCTGAAGAATTTTTTGTTAGACCTTGGGATATTTGACATCAAATTAAGTAAGCAACACGTGAAAAATTGAACTGGTATTTACCCAATGATGACATGCATTTTTTCCCTGGTGATTAATACCTGAAAGTACTGTATGTTAATGGTTTTGCAGATAGAAAACCGCCTGGTGTAGGACGTGGAAGGGGAAGAGGAGGTAGAGATGACAGTGCTGTGGGGAGACAAGCAAAAGGAATTGGGCGTGGGATGGATGATGGAGGTGCCAAAGGCCGGGGCAAAGGAGGACCTAGTGCCAAGTCTGGTGGCAGAGGTATGACTGAATGAAGCAACTAAAAGTTAATTCCTGATTCCGTTAATACCCTTAGAACATGATGATATTTAGTGGTGACAATAATATCCAAACCCACAAGTCCACACATTATGGGTTTAAGTAGTAAGAAAATGGGTATGGTTAATTTTTGCTTGTGGGTATCAAAAAGCACATTTTATTGTTTTCTATAACCCTTGGGTCCCCAAGAATCCATGTAAGACGTCTCTTCCTTCTCATAACCAGCCAACCAGGTCTTGTTTTTCCTTCCATTATTTTAAACCCATTTTTCTCTCTCCAATGACCAGGTTTCATTTTCCTTCCATTGTTTTAAACCCACCTTCTCCTTTTCTCGTAATTGGTTTAGACTCATTCTCTTTGCTACCTTTTTAATTATTTGGATGATCTTTGCTATTGGAGAAGAACTTATCTTATTTTTATAAGATTCAAACTTTATCTTACACAATAACAAACCAAGATCATCTTCTAATATAAACGTCGACGAATCACGAAGTCAAGCTGAAAAGTGAAAAGAAAAAACACATTGTCGTGAGTTATGACAAAAGACAAAGTTGAATAATTAAGAAAAGGAGAATTACTTACACAAGCAAAACTTGTTTGTATTTAATTAAAAAGTAATTTCTTAGAATTTTCACATGTACTCTGAAAGTGAAAATATTTTTGGTTAACTTAGTCGGCGTTTGGACATAAAAATGTAATTTTTGAAAAAAGTAGTTATTGGAGTTAAGTTTGAAAAAAGGTATTTAGAATTTGAATTTGTGTTTGGACATGCATTTCACTTGAAAAAATATTTTAGGTTTGTGAGGGAAAATGAAATTTATATGAGAAGTGGTAAAACCCACTTTTTCAAACTTGGAAACTCATCTTCAAAAAAATTGTGAAAAATTCAGTCAAATGTATAACCAAACAAGTGTTGAAAAAATAAAATTTGAAAAAAAGGAAAAAATGTGTATGGACAAATGGGTCCTTAGTTTTAAACCCTAAAATACGTTATGTGCACTTTGATGCTTAAAAAAAGGATATTCCTTTCTCACCAATCACATGCAAAATTGGACAGTTTTATACTTGGCCAATATGTTGTTCTTATGACGAAGTCATCAGAGTATTCCAGGTAAGATATAAGTTTGCATTTTATGCCTAAATCATTGCACACTAACATGACACCTATTACAAGAGGTTTCAGGTGGATTTTGATGACTTCATTTGAGACTGAATCCTTCTAGGTTTACACAAAATGGGTTGATTGCATATGCAGCCAATTTATAAGAAGCCATTAGAGTTCATTCACAGCCAACCAAATTGTAACAGCCCAGCCCGCTAGTGATATTGTCCGCTCTGGGCCTATGCCCTCACGGGTTTAAAACGCGTCACTAGAGTCTAAGGTTTGTCTACTTATATATCCAGCATCTCTCCCGTGTTTTGTCGATGTGAGATTCGCCTAGGGTGTCACACGAATCTACCCATGTGCCAATACTTGATTTCACAGTTTTTTGAAATATGTTAAGCACATATCTCTCTCTAGTACTTTCAAAATTATCCTGAGCTCATTTCAGGATTGATTATATCAATAAACAAGCTTCATGTTCAAGAAATTTCTTATAGTTACTAAGTAAACAAAGACTGCCTATTTTTTTTATGTCATTGATGAATCTGGGTTGGATTTCTCATATAGGTGGAGGTCGCGGACGTGGCTGATAATCTTTCATCGAGAGACCAGGAAGCCAGGTGACAATTTGCCACCTTTTAAGGCATACTATATGTATTTTGTTTGTCACCTAATTCTAAGGCACTTGAAGGCTGAGAGGCCACTTCCTTATTCTTAGTTTGAAAGTAATGTATTTAGGCTTGAGCTGATCATTTCGTTTGACCGTTGCTTTACAATTGTGAAAAAACTGTCTGCAAGTTCTTGTTATATTTATGAAATCCCAGATTTAAAAACTTTCTGCGGTCCAAGGCAAGAGTGCTACTAATTCTCTTTGACTCCATGATCAGATTATACATCAAGATGGCTTTCTTTTTCTGTTTTCCCTCTGGGAAAGTCCTTTGAGGGGTTATTTTTGTGTGTGTGTGTGTGTGGGGTTGCTAGAGTTGGTGCTGCACTCTCTGTCTGTTTACTATGAAATGCAGACAAAGAAAGGGATTCTGTCTAGATCCTGCGCATCTCATCCTACCATTGAATCTAGTTCAGGACACTCTCGGACTCATACTAAACAGACTGTTGTACAGAGATCTGGAATTAATAGTTCCTCGTGTCTGCGTGATGTTTATACTCGCTTTGACTCTCCTCGTGCTGCTGCTCGAGCTATTTGTTCTTTTATACCTGTTAGTTGATAACTGATGAATGATGTCAGTTAATGGTTCAGAGTTGCGGTGAGGTTAATTTGCACATCTCGCAAGAGTCATATTACTCTATATGAGAGACAGTATTTTTGGGGTTGGTGCAAGTTCATAGTTCACCTTGCTTTAAAAATGATACAGGGTCTTGCCAAAAGTTTGGTTTCATCTTCATATTTTTTTAATTTGTTACTCCATAAATCCTTAAAAACAATTACTATGTAGTTCAGGTCACGAGCGACAAAGTATCTTATATTTTCAGTGTGGAATTCTGACCGCCACTTGCTCAATCTTTTTGAAAAATGACATACATGTTTGCAATTTAAATAAAAAAGTACTTAATAAAATGCAGCTTGGAATATTTACAAATATTTACCAATGATGTCAAAAGGTGGTAGCTAAGAATTTTTTTAAAGTCTCTTTAAAGAGGAGTTAAATTTGTCCCTCTGCTAACGCTAAAAGAATCACATTTGCCTTCTGTCAAATTAGGCCTGTTCATGGATCGGATTTGGCATATTTTGGACTATCCGATCGGATTTCGGATTTGATAAATTGCCATTCAAATCCGAACCAAATTAAATTCGGTTCGGATTGGATTTTGATATTTGGATTGGATAAATATTTTGGATTACGGTTTGAATTGTAAGCCTTATATATTAAGGTGCTTATTTCATGAGTTCATCTCTTAGTGATTGGTGTAGCATAACCATTAACATACTCTATAAAGAGGGGATCTAACAACTGATCCATAAAGATTTACCCAGCTAGAACGAGAAGGAAATATATACTCTATAAGGATAAACAACATCAATAATTTAATATGGATTCAAAAGGTTAAAGTGAATAATATTGGTTGATAATTGTAGCAACGGAACTGAACAAACCCAAAAGGTTAAACTGAATAATACTAGCTGATAATTGTAGCAACAGAACTAAATAAACTGTAGTACCAACAAGGCAACATATCAACAAAATAGCATCTTTGAAAAATTTAAGTTCTCAAATGGAAAGGAGGGAGAGAATAAAAAACCAAAACCTTAGATCAATCTAAAATAAAAATCGACCATAAATAGGAAAGAATCAATCAATAATTTAAAATGGAAAGGACGAAGAGAATGAAAAATAAAAAAAACTAATAAACCTTACTTCTTGAGAACATAGATGAAGCGGCGATATTGGAGATTTGGAGTGATGGAGGCAGGTCTAAAAGCTCTAAGAGATACTTGGTTATGTGAGAGAAATAAGACAAATGAAACCCTATTTGATGGCACCCTCACTTTTATATATAGGCCTTATATTTCGAATTTCGGATCGGTTCGGATTTAAATTAAGCCAAACCGTATCCGATCCGATATCCAAAATATTTAAATCTATAATCCGAAATCTGATCCAAATAGTTGAAATCCGATCCGAACCGATCCAAATAACATGGATCGGTTCAGATTTTCGGTTCGACCCAAATAATGCACAGCCCTACCTTTAATATTAGCTAAGCGGCTTAGATATACTCCTCTATTAGAGTTGTTCAAGATGGACACCTAATTCAGCATGGTACTGACATTTGGCAAGATGGATACCGGATGACATGCTATCTCGTTGCCCCAACTTATTATATCCCATCCCCTGCGCTTCTTCTACACAGTGCACTCGCACTCTCCTCATTCAATTTTCACGGATAAACACACAAATTAACATATATTACGCTCTGACAAAAAACGTTGTTCATCACTAATTGTGACAAAACATTTTCCTCCATAGCTAACTAGCACCACCAAGCTCCATTACTCTATTAATCCCACGCCAATAATCACATTTCTTTCATCAATGACGCGAGAGTCGGCCCCTCCGTCCATCCCCCGGCTATCCTACTTAAAAGGAAAATCATTCTTATCTCAAAACTCCTATTGGTAAAAGAGTTTTTGCGGCTGAGTCAAAACTCAAGGAGCTCGAGGTTTTGGGTGTTCAGATCTAGGCCAAAAGAATCAACCCAAGCGACACTTTCCGGTCGAGCTTCGATCTTTCGAAAGATTCCAGTTCATGGCTTCGTCCAGTTGTTTGAGTTTGAAAATGCTGAAATTTGTTTCGTCAGTGTAAAGATCTTAAGGTCCTTTCTTCTCTTTAACACTTGTGGTTCTTGGTTTAATGATTTATTTAAATTTTGCTCGCATTGTATTTTTCCATCAAATGATAATCTTGTTGTTTATGTGATTGCTAGTGGCTTGGAATCGCATATCTAATTATTTTCTGGAGTTTATATATATCATTTAATTATATAAATAAAATACAATATAAATACTAGTGGCAGAAGAATTAGAGCAAAGAAGGTAAAATGTATTGTGGGTGGTGAGGACCAAATATTAGGGCTACATGAGATTGGATGTTCATTTTGAACAATTCTAACGGAGGGACAATTCTAATGGAGGAGGGATATATTTGGGCCACTTAGCTAATATCGATGATATTTTTGGGTAAATGTAATTTGGCATAGCAGAGGAGCAAATATGAGCACTATTTCCTCTTTAAATAGTGATAGTGACCAGTGAATTGGGACATATATGGGTTAGGAGTTCCGTTTGTCGTTACTCAGTGGTTTTACACGATTTGGGCCTTTTTAGATGGCATAAGCCAAACTGATCATCACTTTTGTAACCTTGTATTTAGAAGGCAGAATATATAATTTGTCGCCTGAGCTTGATGTCAAATCCTTCTGATATACTTTTTCAATTAGGACAACCATTTATACACCCAATCTGTCCAAAATGTGTCTAAAACACCCCCTTTGGTTACATGGCACTCATGTTTTTTACACACAAAAAAGACGTGTTAACCCTATATAATGTCTGTCCCAATCTTTATTTAAGTCTGTGCGTCAGACTATTTTACTTTTCTTTTTTTTAAACAAAAAATATTTGGTTTCCTTTCCTTACCCAGTGATCTCACTATTCCCCAACGTCCCTTACTGTTCAGCGCTGCAACCCCACTCCCCCGCGTCTGGGTCGGGATCCCCTCTAGTGATGTTTGGTCCAGTATCGTTCAATAGGGTGCTGATTTTCTGATACGTGTCGTACTAACTAACCAATGGACAAGATTTCCTTAGCTAAAAACTAGTTTAACCATGGTTCTGTTTCTCTTCTCTCAGTTGTTCTTCTTTAACCCTTTTCAAGCTATTCTTTCGTCCTCTTTCTTTTTGCCTTCTTTGCTCTCTATGACTAGTATTTCTTTTATTTGCAATATTAATTATTGGGTGGTGGAGAGAGGACTCTTCTTAATAAACATTTGCACTTGCCTCACCTTATTCAAATTAGTCCAAGAAAGAAATAAGCAAATAACAATGTCCCGAAAGGATATCTAGCGATTCAAATAGGGCAAGTAGAAGATAATGTTTCATACTTCAATCGCCCATTTTTCATTCTGTTACTCAAAGAGGCTGAGGCAGTAAATTTTTTTAATCAAAAGGGTACACCATTACCATTCCTTGCTATGTCGACGACTTTGCTGCGTTCCAGCCAAGATTGATAAATACCACCAACACCCTCTTCATGTCCGATGTTTATTGTTTTAGATCCTAATTTTTTTTCTTTTCGAAGGTATGGTTGAGATGAAAAGTGGCATCCTAGAGGAATTCGTTTTGCGGCTATGCATGAGACGGAATTAAAATGGCTTCGAACGTCACTAAACTCAATCCTGATATCGCAGAAAGAAAGCATCTCTAGGTGATTTGACCTTCCTCTTTACTCAGTGGCGGAGCTAGAGAAGTTAATGCGAGTTTGGACGAACCCAGTAACTTTTGCTTAGACTTTGTATTTGTATTAAAATGTTCAAAAAATATGTATAAATATTTAATTGTGAACCCAGTAACTAAAACGAGTTATGAGTTCGATGATAAATTCAAAACCCATAAATTTTTAATCGTATTTCCGCCCTAAAATGAACTTGAACAGATCCATAAAAGAACAATAATTCATTAGCATCAAGCGAAAGAAAATATGTTGGGTAGTCTTGACCACATGGACGTAGAACGGGAGAGGAGAAATTCAACCATGGTTAAACTAGCTTTTTAGTTAAAGAGATCTTGTCCATTAATTAGTATGTAGGACATGTGTCACGAAATCAATACCCTATTGAAGAATACTGGACCAAACATCACCGGAGGGGATCCCAACCCCCGCGTCTTCCTCCTCACCAATAATGACTTTTCTAAATTAGAAGAATTAGGAAAAAAAGCATTTGCAAATGTTGAGTGTGCATGAGTTGTCCATGTTGAAGAGGTGTGTCACTGGGATTTGACCTTAAGCTCAAATGGTAAACTATGTATTCTGCCTATTTAGAAGGATGAACTATAGAATAAGCCCAAAAAAAAAACAAACAAACAGTACTTACCTATAATTAGTCATTAAGTTATGCTACCAAAAATAACAAAAACAAAACTACCAATAATATATAACATTCAAAAAATCTAGGCAAAAAAGGAATTTTTTTTTTCCCCAATGGATATGATTGAAATTTGTTGAAAGCACATGGATGAGATAATATAAAAAATTTGAGGAAGATTGAAGGTAATTTAAACTGATTTGGAATCAAAATTCATTATCAATGATATACAACTTTCAAAAAATATAGACAGATTTTTTCCCAATGGATATGGTTGAAATTCTTTGAAAATACATAAATGAGAAAATATACAAAATTTGAGATAGCAAGGAATGGTAATGGTGTACCCTTTTGATTAAGCCCCCAAACTCTCTTTCTCCATTCCTTTTTTTTTTCCCATCACTTTCTTTATCTCTCTCTCTCCATCCCTCTTATTCTTCAATATGACAATTACAGGCGGACTTCGGCGGTTTATTCCGATGGCGGCGACAATAACATTGAGGTTAGTAATTTTTTTTCTCTTTTTTTAGTACCTAATTCTAATCTCCTAATTGGATTCTCCGTGCATCCCTAAAATTGGATTCAACATTGAGGCTTATATGTCTATTTTTTCAATTTGGATTTACCCTAATTCGATTCTCCGTGCATCCCTAAAATTTAACCATAACCTTATCAACAATATTGTGCAATAGTAAATTGGAGAGTAATTTGGAAGTTTGTTGATGATAATGGAAAGTTATCTTATTAACAATGTGCATTAGTGAATCTAAGATTTACATTTAAAATATAGCATGCTTTAAAATAGTTGAAAGCTCTATATTATTTTATTTTAATAGTTTAATGTAACTAACAAAATATAATTTAAGTTAAATTAAGGGTCATAAGATCATGAGACTTGTGTAGTTGATATGAAATTTAGTAATTATCAAAAAATTAACTCCTAAGATTTGAACTCATTCATCAAATTAATAAGCTTAGACAGTCAAGTAATATTTTTTAAAGTGTTTGGCAACTATATAACTTATAGTGTTGAAATCATCCAAGTATTACACTTAAAAATATAATAAGTGAGTGGATAGGTAACATTGATAAGAATATGACTTATTAATTATTTTGTGTTATAAATATTATTTTATTTATAGTGAAAGTCTATCTTTTAGAGAGATTTTAGGGTTTGTTATTTTGTGGCCAAATCACTTTTTCCCTATAAATAGATGAGTTCTATTTCATTGTAATTCATCCCAAATGAATAAGAATTCTCTCTCTACTTTTTTTCTGCAATACTCTTCTTCTTCTTTTATTGTTGTAACGACTCGACTGGTCGTTTTGAGCTCTAGCACGTCGTTCAGAGATTTGAAGCCTCGAGTAGCTTCACTTCATATTTTATGACTTGTGCGCGTAGTCGGAATTAAATTTTGGGAAGTTCGGAGTTGATTCGGAAGGAAAATTCCCAATTCGGAAGCTTTAAGTTGGAAGAGTTAACTAAGGCTTGAATTTTGAGTAAACGGCCTCAGAATCGGGATTTGAAGGTTCTAATAGGTTCGTATGATGATTTCGGACTTGGGCGTATGTTTGGGTTGAGTATCGGGTGGTCCGAGAGCATTTCAACGCTTATTATGGAAAGTTGGCATTTTAAAAGTTTTAGAATTTTCTAAGTTTGATTTGAAATAGACTTTGGTGTTATCGATGCCCGTTTGGGGTTCCGAGCCTTGAAATAGGTTCGTATCGTGATTTGTGACTTGTACGTAAAGTTTGGCGTCATTCCGGAATGTTTAAGTATGATTCGGATGCGTTCGTCGAAGTTTGAATGTTTGAAAGTTGAAAGAAGGATTTTGTTCGTCGATTCAAGATTTTGATGTTATTTACGACATTTTGAGCCTTTGAATAAGTTTGGATAAGGTATTGGGACTTGTTGGTATGATTGGACGGGGTCCCGTGGGCCTCGGGTGTGTTTCGGGATGGTTTCAGACAAAGTTTGGATGATTGGCTGTTGCTGGTTTACTGGTTTTGTTCTTCGCGAACGCGGAAGAAGAGACGCGTTCACGATGAAGGATTTGAGCTGGAGGCCTTTTGTTCAACGCGTTCGCGAAGGTTTGGGTAGTAGTGCTTTGCATTCGCGATGGCTAGGTCGCGTCCCCGTAAGAGAAACTGGGCCTGGGAGTCTTGGCCTACGCGTTCACGAGGATGGTGTCGCGTTCGTGATGGTCAGGTCTAGTAAGGCATCGCATTCGCGAGCCTGTTTTCGCGATCACGAAGAAGGATTTGGGAACAGAAGCTGGTTGTGCTTCGCAAATGCGAGGGACTTTCCGCGTTCGCGAAGAAGGGCGCCTGGGCAAATTATAAGCTTGCAAGGTCGGGATTTTCTTATTTTCAACTAATTTCTCTCTTGCTTGGGCGATTTGGAGGAGCCATTTTCATCATCAATCTTGAGATAAGAGATTTTTATAAATTGGGAGTTAAATACATGGATTATATATGGATTTAAAACATGAAAAGTTATGGAAATTGTGGGTTTTGGTAGAAAACCTAGAATTTGGTACTTTTGAATTTTGACCACGAAATTGAACATGAAATTAGGAATAAATTATATATTTGAGTTCGTGGTATTATGGGTAATGATTATCTTCAAGAATTTTAGGAATCCGGGCACGTGGGCCCGATGATTGACTTCGTTGACTTTTCGAGCGGAGTTGGGAATGATTATAAATTAATTAATTATAAGTATTAGAGTACATTCTTATTGGTTTGTATATTGTTTGACTAGTTTCGGATCGCTTGGCTTTGAATTGAGGAGTTAGAGAGGCATTGGAGCCGGTTATTGAAACTTCAGAGCGAGATAAGTCCCTTGTCTAATTTTGTGAGGGGAAAATTATCCCGTAGGTATTAAAATTGTTATGTGCTACTAGTTGTGGGTGCTACGTACGCACGAGGTAACGAGAGTCCGTACATAGCTAAAAGCATGTTTATGTCCGGGTAGACTTAGGACTTTATCATGTAATATTTAAATTATTTGAACTCATTTTGCTTGCTTAATTAAGTGAATTTATAATTGAAATTGATTTGGGAATATATTAGGTCGAGCTTTACCACCTTGAGTTGTTTGGCGAGATATTTGATAAACGGTAAAAGTCATGTTTACTTTATGCTCCTGCATCTGTTTTGTAAGTATGTGACTCGTAATTCGATAAGTTTCTTCCTTTCCTGTGGATCGAGCCAAACACCTCGGCAGTATATTGAGATGCATATCTGGTTCGCGCCGGTCGACCCTCGGTAGTGTACACACCACTCTGGATCGAGCCGTACGACCTCGACATAATCGTGCGTGATACTGCTAGCAGTCCGGATATTTATGACATTCCCTTTTTATTGAGGCCTCGCATTTATATGGTATTCCTTATTCTTGTGAGATTACATTTGATATTTCTAATCTGTTGAGATAGCATATGAGATTTGTGAGATTTATATCGCTAAAAGAAATGTTGGAAGATTATGTTAGTTATCGTTTTACCTCATTATTACCGCTGTGCTTCATATCCGTTTTTATCATACCGATTTATTGGACTTACTGGATACACGTTGATTTACGTACTCATGCTACACTTCTGCACTAAATGTGCATGATCTGACAGGTTCATTTGGTGGTCATCTTGGCGCGTAGGCGCAACTGCCGAGGAGATTTGATGATGAGCTGCATTCCAGACTACGTATCGCAACCCACAGAGTCTCCATCGTATTATTTACTTTACCCTGTCTAATTTATATTCCAGACAGATATTGTATTATTATTGTACTCCTTAGTAAATGTGCATGCACTTATGACACCGAATTTTGGGATATTCTAGTTGATGTTTACGGATTTGCATATTATTGTCACCTTTTATTTTTATGCCTTACTAATTATATATGTGTAACGACCCGGCCGATCGTTTTACTTTCTAGATATCCGTTCCCCTAATTAAGACTTCCTGTATGTGCTTTTACTATTTTATAACTTGCGGAGATGGTTAGTTTGGGTTTGGAAGGGTTCGGGTTGAAATCGGAACACTTAGTTCCTTAATAGTGACTTAAAAATGGTTAAGTTTGACTTGAGTCAATGTTTTGAGTAAACGACCTCGGAACTGGGATTTGACGGTCCCAATAGGTTTGTATGATGATTTTGGACTTGGGCGTATGTCCGTATCGGGTTTTGGATGACCCGGGAGCGTTTCGGCGCTTAATATTGAAAGTTGGCGCATTGAAGGTTTTCAAGTTCTTTAAATTTGGTTTGAAGTAGGATTTGGTATTATCGAGGTTCGTTTGGGATTTCGAGCCTGGGAATAGCTATGTATGATGATTTGTGACTCACACGCAAAATTTGGCATCATTCCGAGTTGATTTGATATGAATCGGATGCGCGGAAGTGTTTCTAGAAGTTTTTGAGTTTCATAATTCGATTCATGCGTTTTGGCGTCCAATTCGTATTTCTAATGTTATTTTGGTATTTCGATCGCGCGAGCAGGTCCGTATTATGTTGTTGGACGTGTAAGTGTTATTGGATGGGGTCCCAGGGGCCCTGGATGCGAAACGGATTGGAATCGGACTCGGAATTTTCCCTGAGGGACTGCTGGTGCACCGGTTCTAGTGCGTCCGCATCTGCGTGATTTTGGCCGTAAGTACGAGCTTGCAGAAGCGAGCCTGTGATCGCAGAAGTGGCCTGGGGTGAGTGGCCAGTGGTCTGCAGAAGCGAGCTCGCTTCTGCGATGATGTGGCCGCATGTGCGAAGCAAGGCCAGCCAGGCATGGGTCGCAGGTGCCACAAGCCTTCCGCAGAACCGGGTTCGCAAAAGCAAAAGCCTGTCTGCAGAAGCGAAAGCCCATCTGCAGAAGCGAAGGGGGGCAGCCTTGGCTAGGACCGCACCTGCGATGGATTTTTCCGCAGGTGCGGCGTCACAGGTGCGCCCCAGGATCCGCAGAAGCGAAAATCGCTAGGGCAGTGAGGTTTATTTAATGTCGGGACTTAAGGCTATTTTGGTTCATTTCTTTCACTTCTTGGACGATTTTAGAGCTTTTGAAGAGGGATTTTCACCTAGCACTTTGAGATAAGTAATTTCTATACAAGATGAGTTTAATACATGTATTTTGGATAGATTCTTAACACATAAATTGTAAAAATTGTGGGTTTAGTTGAAAAATCTAGGTTTTGATAAAAATGAGATTTAACCACGAAAATAATTATGGAATTGGGTAAAAATTATATATTTGAGTTTGTGAGGTTATGGGTAACATTTATCTTCGAAAATTTTTCGAATCCGGGCATGTGGGCCCGGGAGTGAATTTTAAGAATCTTCCAATTTGGGTTAGGTAATTACTCTAATAGCTAGATCACGAACTTGTGAGTGTATATTGATTAATTTATATAATATTTGACTAGTTTCGGATTGTTCGGCACCAAGTTGAGGCTTTATAGTGTGTTCGTGGGCCGTAAAGTGAGCTTTGAGACGAGGTAAGTCTCTTCCCTAACCTTGTAAGAGAGAATTTACCCCATAGGTATTTTAAATTACTATTTGCTTCTAATTGTGGGGGCTATGCACGCACGAGGTGACGAGAGTCCATGCGTAGCTACTAATTATGCTTCGGATCTCCCGTACCTTGTCTTTATTGGTTCACGCTTTACTTTACTATAATTTTCCACTCCTCATTTACTTTATAAATAAAAATCAGTTATTTTGAAATTATTAAAAGAATAAACACATGGATATTTCACCTTTGGCTTGCCTAGCGGCGACGTTGGGCGCCATCACGGCCTATTGATGTTTGGCAAAAAATGCATATATTTACCCATTGTTGCCTCACACTATAGCATTTTTAATTATCTTTTGAGTATTAATTACATTACTTGGTGCATAATATCATATTTTAATTGTGTAGGAATAAAGCGATGTGAAGATGAAGAGATTTGGAACAAAATTGAATAAAACGCGAAAGAAAAAAAGAAAGAAAATAAAGGAATAAATAAACGAGGAGAAAGGGGGGTGGGCACCTTTTGGGTTTTGTCCCCCCAAGTGTAAGACAAAAATAAGAAAGAGATCTAAACGAGGAGAAAGGGGGGTGGGCACCTTTTGGGTTTTGTCCCCCCAAGTGTAAGACAAAAATAAGAAAGAGATCTAAATGAGGAGAAAGGGGGGGGGGGTTCCTATTTCGTTCGGGATAATGTTATTTCGGCCCTACACGGCCCCAAGTAATATACTTTGAAGGAGATCTAACATAGTTTGAAGGAGAATTCACATGGGGGAACACAGACCACGCTTGGAGGAGGCTACTAACTAGTTTTTCTTCTCTTCCCTTCCTTTAATCTCATAGTTTATTAGTTCTAGAGTTTTGGGTGCTACATGAACGTTGTAGTTTGAAACTTGAAGTGTTCTTATTATTTTATCATATTGGTTTATTTATTCAATCTTCCGCTTAATTATTTGATTGCTGGATCACCAATTGAATACTATCCACGAATCTAGGATTGAACTCGAGAGAGGGAGTTCTAGATTGCATATAAGATTGAGTAGAGCAAGATCTTGAACTCGAGCATCGGGAACAAATTTGCGGTTAGGATATGAATATACCTAATCGCCTTGCTTGGTTATTATACGGAAATTATTATTGCGTTCTTGTTAATCCTAATTCTATAGGAATATAGGCATTAGGTTAGCTTGAATAGGCGAGTAGTACTTTAGGAGAAGGCTACGAGCAATATTAACCATGTCAATTAATAAACGAGATAAATTAATTAGACAATTTAAGTGAAAAACTCAACGGGATTGTTAGCTAACCCATAACTCTGGAATATTTTCTCCCATTGAATTCGTCTTTAATAGTGCCAACTTGTTTCCTTTAATCTCTTTGTTTGCTACTCTAGATTAGTTGTAGTTAGAAAAACACATTTTAGAAAATCGCTTGAGTAGATTAATTGTCTTAGTTTAATTTAGTAAATAACTGTAGTTAATCAGAAGTCCCTGTAGGTACGATATCTGGACTTGCAATCCTATATTACTTGTTGACCACATATACTTGCGTGTGCGTTTGGGAGCAACAAGTTTTTGGCGCCGTTGCCGGTGACTTAGAAATTAACTATTTTACTAGATTATATTATTACTTTTTGTCTATTCATTTTTTAATATTTTAGCTTAGTTTAATATTTTATTATCTTTGTTGACATGACATCTTGGAATGAGAATTGGTCGAATATTGGTTATTCTTATTTTAGTGATCCCTGTCCATATTGTGAAGGACCATACTTGTGGAAAAATTGTAAATCTCAATCTTATCAGTGGAATATTTGTAATGTGTATGGTTGTAAAGGTGGCCATTGGGATGGTTGTCCTAATTCTTTTTACCCTTCTCTAAGCCCTTATTATGATTTTTCTAATAATATTTATGAGTTTGATAGGAGCAATAAAGTGGAGGATGTGGAACGTGTTGCCCATATTATAGACATGGTGAGGCAAGTAGCCGAGCAACAAGATGAAAATCAAAAGGCTATAGAAAGAATTAGTGCAGCAATCACGACAATGAAGGCTAATACGGAAGAATTGGCTGAAAAGAGCGAGTTCCCACAAGAAGATAACTTTGAAGAAGCAGCTATAGTGAGCCAATCTTGGCTAGAGGAACAAGCTCAACTAATAAAATTTTATGGATTTCTCCGTAATGGTCTTTCAAATATGACAGAACAACTGATAAAAGGAAAACCTGAGCTCAAGCAAGAAGTAGACCAATTTGGCTCAGATATCCATGACCTGCAAGCTAAATTGAATCAAAAGGTTGAGGCGTCTGATGCCCTACAACCAATTGTTGTGGATACTGGCCAGCTTGTGAAGCAGAAAGAGGAATTCCAACTATTCGACCACAATATTATTAATGATGCCAAGGTTAAGGAAGTGTGCAAAAGTGAGAATGTTAAAAGTTTTTTTAGAGTTGGAGCGTATTGGATTTTATTCTAACCACTTTTAAACATTGTATTTGGTTGGTGACACGAGAATTGATCCATTCGAGCATATGGAAGAGTCAATGGATGAGGAACAAAGTGCATATATTCTGAAATTTGCGATGCCAAGAAGACAAAATGACATCCCTCACTTAAAGGCCAAGAAGTGCAAGATGCGATATCTATTGCTTGGGTTTATTTTCACACCACTTCCCCAAGAACGTGATAGAAAAATTGATGCAAAATTGGGGGCACAATTCATATCCTCAAGGTGGAGGAAAAGTGGTGAAAGTGATGGCGTTGTGCCGCGATGTTAAATCAAGCACTTGTTGGGAGGCAACCCAATTCTATTTTTTCTTTTTCTTTTTGTTTATTGTGTTATCGTTATAGTGTTATTTTTGTATTTTGTAGAAGTAGGAGCATGGAATCAAAGCCAGTAGGCATATGCATAAGCGAGCAGGTGGTTGGAACTAAGTGTGGGGTGCCCGCACAAAGGATCATACCTGGGAGAAGTCTGAGTATCCCGTGAGCTGCGAATATATTGGCCTTTGGCTTACCAGGGAGTCCCTTTTACCCTCTTGTTATTTATTAGATGCATTGATGACATTGCAAAATATTAAGTGTGGGGTGAGGAGATTGTCTGAGTGATTTTCTGTGCTATCCTAGTTTAGTTGTAGTACTCTTTCTTAGTGTAATAGTTTTTGTGTAAAAACAAAAATTGAAAAAAATGAAAATTGAGAAAAAAAAAGAAAATTTGGATTTTTTCCGACGATGGATCTTGTCGACAACTTCTTGAGGGATTAAAGTCCAACGAAAAAAAATTCAAAAGA